GAGTACCACATGGATGCTGGGACTCAAATGCCAGTTATCTGGAAAAGCAGCCAATGCTCTTAAGCACTGACCCATTTCTTCAGTCAAATGGCTTTCACCTTGTCTCTTCTTGTCAGTACTGGGCTGGAATTAAAGGCATGTACTACTATGCCCAGACAAGTTTATATATATATATATATATATATATATATATATATATATATATATATATATATATACATATATATATATATATATGTTAGCAATGGGCCTGTCAATTTCCAAAAATGATTTATATTTGAACTTATAGGTCAACTTGATAGCATGACATTAAACTTTTTTATGTATGTATGTATGTATGCATGCATGCATACAGGAGGAGGCCAGAGGCATCAGAACCCCTGAGTTGGAGTTACAGGAAGATGTGAGCTGTTTAGTATGGGAACTGAGTTATAGACATTCTTTAACCACTGAGCTACCTCTCCAGTGACTATTATAATTTTTAAAAGTATGAACTATTTTTTATGTTTTAAGGTGTGTGTGTGTATCTGCTACAGTGTCTATAGAGGAGTTGGCTCTCATCTTCTAATGTAGGAGAAATGGAACTAAGGATGTCTGGCTTTGACGATAAATGTCTTTATCTACTAGCCAGCCCTATTTTTTACTCAGACACATTGTTTTGCATACATGCATAAGTGATGGTAATCTCCAGTCCCTCTTCTCACCTTCCTACTGACTAGACTCCTGGAATGTATAGGATCTCTCACTGAAAGTAGAGATCACTGACTGGCTCTGCTGGCTGGCCAACAAGCTTCTGGGAATCTGCCTGTCTCCACTTACCCAGCATGCCTGGGTTTTGACATGAGTGCTAGGGATGTGGCAATAGGTTCTCATTTCTGTGTACTATGCACTGTAATCAAGGTTATTTCCTTAGCTTTGAGTCAGTGTCTCAATATATGACCCAAGCTAGTCTCAAAATTTGTAGTGGACGAGTAGATTGATACCTAGCCCTTGAATAAGACCTATCTGTTCATAAAGTTTTGTTTGGTGAATCTTACCACAAAGGTCTAACTTTCTTTAGATCTATTTTTAGGTTTTAAGGACTTTTACTTTTCTAGCACTGAATATGTATGAGTGTTCGGCCTGCTTGTATACATATATGTGTGGCATATAGGTGTGCTTGGTACTCCCTAAGGTCAGAAAAAGGTATTGGCTCCCTTGGGACTAGAGTCATAGACCATTGTGAGCTGCTGCATGGGCAACGGACCAGGTCCTCTGGAAGAAAAGTCAGTGACTGCTGATCCAAATCCTAGCTTTAAGAAACTAGTCTTTTTTTTTTTTTAACTTTTTAAAGATTTATTTATTTATTATGTATACAATGTTCTGCCTGCATGCATGCCCGCATGCCAGAAGATGGCACCAGATCTCATTACAGATGGTTGTGATTCACTGTGTGGTTCCTGGGAATTGAACTTAGGACCTCTGAAGTGTAGCCAGTGCTCTTAACCTCTGACCCATCTCTCCAGCCCAAGAGACTAGTCTTTTACGAAGTTATTATAAAAGTATTGTCTTTTACTTTTATTTAATTTTTTCCTTTATTGAGATGAGTTTAAACTTGTAGCCCTGGCTAGCACAAACTCTTTATGTAGACTGGGGTGGCCTCAAACTCACAAGATTGCTTGCTTCTGCTTCCCAAATGCTAGGATTAAATGTGTGCACCTACACTTGTACTCAGTTGTCGTTTATTTTTAAATAATAAATTTAAAATTATGTGTATGAACATAGAGGAGTGTATGCCTTGTGTGTGCAGGTGCCTGGGAAGGCCAGAATGGGACACTGGATTCTCTGACGTGAGTGACAGGAACTGTCACTTGGGCCCGCTTCAGTCCAAGCGTTACCTTGCACTTGGCTATTAGCACACTGGAAGTGCAAACAGTACCGAAATTTCCACGTCTACAATCACTATCATTTGTGCCTGAGACAGGGTCCCATGTAGCTCAGGGTGGCCTCAGGAGTGCAGGATAACTTTGAACTTCTGATCCTCTCGCCTCCACCCCCTGAGGGCTGGGATTTTAGAGCTGTACCACAATGTGTGATTTATGAGTTGCTGGGGATCAAACCTAAGGCTCTGGGCATCCTACGCAAGCACTATACTGTTTGGACTGTATTTCAGCCCCAGGTTATTTCTATTTTGTTGGTATGGGTTCTTTGAGACAGTGCCTTCCTAAGAATCCCAGATGTGCTCTCCATGCAAACTGCTGGGTGCACAAGTCTCTGCATCCCATTCCGTTTTTCCTTCTCATTTTTCACTGCACCACTTAGTTAGGGCCTTCACTACAAAAGATAATTCAAGTTTTTGACAAAAATCTTTAAAGTTTTCAGGTTTTGTGTTTTTTATGTTTGTTTATTGAACGTGTGTGAATCGTGCGACTTTATTTTAAGTGCAGCACATGAAGATCTCAGAGGACAACTCCAGAGAGTTAATACTCTCCTTTCACAATCTGGGTCCATTTTAAGTGCAGCACATGAAGATCTCAGAGGACAACTCCAGAGAGTTAATACTCTCCTTTCACAATCTGGGTCCTACGGACTGAATGAAGGTCTTTCAGGCTAGGCGGCAAGCCATCTCACCATAATGATAGCCCTAGTCCTCAGCACCTCCCTTTTGAGAAATGGTCTCCTGTACCCAGTTTGGACTTGAATTACATACAGGAGGAGAAGAACCTCAAGGTCTGGCTGCAAGATGGCTCAGTGGGTACAGATATTGCTACCAAGCCTGGTGACTTGAGTTCAGTCCCTAGGACCCACACGGTAGAAAGAACTGATGTCTAAAACAAGTAGTACCCTGATCTCCACACGTGCTCTGTGCCATCAGTATGCATACACGATAACAAATCAGCAAACACACAAATGTAATAAAAAGCTCACTATCATCATTAGATAAATGGAAAGCTCCAGACCAGCCTGAGATACAGGGAATCCTATCTCAAAACAAATAAAAACAGGAGAGGGAGTGGGGGGAGTGGGAGGGTGTTGGGAGGTGGGGCGGAAATGGAAACTTTTATAATTTAATAAAATTACTTTAAAAAAAAAACAAATAAAAACAAAATAAACAAAAAGTATACCTAAGTGTTATTAGTAAAGATACGGGTCTCAAATTTCTTTTGGTACATGATTTTAATTCTAGACTCAATTTCTTAAGGTATATATTTAGTTTCTAGTTCTGATATCATTTTTGAGAAAATGTGCTATTCCCTTTTCCTTTAACTTTTCCTAAATAAAGGTATTTAGAGCTGGGTGTAGTAGCATATACCATTAATCCCAGCACTTGGGAAGGCACATCTCTGTGAGTTCAAGGCCAGCCTGGTTTACATACTGAGATCCAGGACATCCTGTCTCAAAAACCCAATAAATAACTTTTAAAAAAATCTCAAAGCTATGCCAAGTAGTGGTGGTGCTTGCCTTTAATCCCAGCACACAGAAGACAGAAGCAGACAAAATCTCTGAGTTCAAGGCCAGCCTGTCCAGGATAGCTGAAAAACTCAGCCATGAAAAAACTAACAACAAAAAAAAAAAGAATTGAATTGAAGAAGAATCCATTAATTCATGATAACCATGAGGTCACATGATTTTAATCCCAGCACTCAAAGGAGGTAGAGGCAGGGGGAATCTCTGCAAGTTCTAGGATAGCCTAGACTACAGAGAAAGACCATATGTCAAACAAAGATTCATTCTCATACTCAGTTCATTTTACTATTATTTTTGAACCATTTATTTTGTATTTGGGCATGTGTATATGTGTGTGCATGTGTGTCATGGCACACACGTGGAGGCGGGGACAACCACCTTTACTGGCTGAGCAGCCCCACTGTCCTTTTGCTTTTTCTGTTTGTTTTCTTTTGTGGCAGTTTTCACTTTACAGATCAGGGGATGAAGCCCAGCTTCTGTGCTTGCTAGGCAAGGGCTGTACCACAGAGCTCCATCTCAAGTCTCTCAACTTCCTGAAATGTTTGCTCTTTTGTTTACATAGGGGTGCGGATTTTGTGGATGAATATATTGGTAAAAATTACCACTCACATAAAACCTGTATTTTTGTGTATGTGAATCACATCTTAATAAAATTCATGAAAGAAAAAAGTGAAGCTGTTCTAATTGCTTGTGAGTCCATGAGCACGCGACAGTGTGTGTGTGTGTGTGCGTGCGTGTGTAGGTCAGAAGACAACTTGTGGGAGTTGGATCTCTTCTTCCACCATGTGGGTTCTGGAACAATCAAATTCAGATTGTCAGGGGAGGTGTCTGGAGCTGAAGTTACAGCGAGTTGTAAGGCATCCAATATGGCTGCTGGGAACCACTCAGGTCCTCTGCAAGAGCAGTGTATACTCTAAACCACTGGTCACCCTGCCTTGGCTTTCTGAGGGAATGGAATGCATGTTTCTTTTCATTATTTTAAAAATTATGTGTATGTATGTGTCTGTTTGTGGGCATGTGCACGCAAGGGCAGGCACCAGCAGAAGCAGAGCTGGAACTGCAAGCGCTAGGTATTAAACTCCGCCCTAGAGGAGCAGTATGCACTCTTCACTGTTAACCATCTCTCCAGTCCTTCAATGCCTCTTTGATAAAATTCTTTTCCTTCTTAATTAGATTTGACCATTTAAGACAAAGAACCTCATTTCACCTTTTTTTTTGGGGGGGGGTGGGCTCTTGTGATAAATCTACTGGAGTAAGTAAGTTTGAAATATAGCCTGGCTAAATAAAATGACATACATACAATGTAGTTACTTAACAGACAATAAGCATTCAGTGAATACTTTAGTATCAGTATACACGAGTGCTCTATTTTTCTGGTAAGAGTAGTTAGGATAACCTAAAGAAACAGCAAACACTTACTCTGCCTGAAGGACTTGGTAAATGAACTTCCTAGGATGCTCTGTGTAAACTGCGTGACAGCAGGAGGCCAATCTCCGGTACCCTCGATACCTACCATTCTGCATACTTCGATTCACCTTTTTATGCTTTCTTACCATTTCTGCATTTCACAATTTGGGTCACAGCTGTGGTTGATGAATCTGGCCTCATTTCCCATGCGATAACTGTCAATCACCATTCCGCTATCCAGGTTCAAACAGTAATGGTCACTGTGATTATGATACTGTTCAATCATTCTGTTCCTGAAGAAGAGAGAAATAACCACTGATTAAACTGGAGGGCAGCTATTCTCCCCACCACACTATTGATGCCAAGTTACTAATGAATAAAGTGACATGAAAGTTCACTTCTTTAATTCACTACCCTCACCTTGCAGAGTCATCATTTCATCAGAATTTCATTATTTACCTGAATTCTTGTTCGCTGACAACTTCCCCTAGGTATTCTATGATGAACTGGCCAGCTTTCAGGGGTTCCTTGGTTCTAATTCCCCAACCTTTTTCTTCAGCTCGAAATCGTTCCAGACATTGCACCCACTCATGCCTCTGTATCCTCTGGTTACAGCACTGCTCACCACATGGGCAAGTGTTAGGGGAACATTCAGCAAAGATCATTCTAGAAGGTCAATTGTAAATTGTAGTCAATTTACCAAATACATTTTTACTGAACACATTTTATACCATCAAATTATTTTTAAATTTGATCCATGAAAAAACTTTAACAAGAGTAGCTAAGTATTCAAAATGAAAATGATATAATTCAAAAGTTAACTTTCATTATTTTGGAGCTGGATCACAGACGATGCTTTACAGTTTCATAAAACTGCCAACCCTCTGGTTTTTCTGATGAGATTGGATGCCTTTGGGGTACTATGATTGCAGACACTCCAGACTTCCTGTTGCTGTTCTTGTTCTTTTTTTGAGTTTTTCAAGACAAGATTTTTTCTTTGTATTCCTGGATGTTCTGGAACTTTGTAAACTAAGCTAGTCTCAAACTCAAAGATCTACTTGTTTCTACCTCCTGAGGGCTAAGCTCAAAGTCATAGGCTACCATCCCCTACTGGGTACACACACTTAAAACAGAACAAAACAAAACAAAAACCCAAGAAAGAACTGCTGAGAGTAGGAAAACATAGTAGGAAATAAAGAGAAAGAAGCCAGGTGGTGGTGGTGCACGCCTTTAATCCCAGTACTTGGGCAAGTGGATTTCTGTGAGATCAAGGCCAGCCTGGTGTACCAAGCAAGTTCCATGTCAACTAGTTTCACAGAAAAACCCTACCTTGAAGAGAGAGAGAGAGAGAGAGAGAGAGAGAGAGAGAGAGAGAGAGAGGGAGGGAGGGAGGGAGGGAGGGAGGGAGGGAGAAAAGCTTGCCTTGGAGTAGGAAAGAATATTACTCCTAAATAACACTTATTTATTAACTGTCTGATTGTTTATAATGGGGTGAACTATGTGTCATAGCACTTATGTAGATATCAAAGGAGTTGGGCACTCCTTCCAACATGTGGGTGATGAGGATTGAACTCAGGTCTTCAGCTTGGTATCAAGCATGTTTATTTGCTTACCAATCATGCTGGCAGGCTGTTATTGATTTCCATGCTAATTATTGCTGAACACTCCACCATCTTTACACTAAAATATTGTTTTGTAGCCATTCATGGCTATTTACAGACTTTTCCCTTGGCTTTATTTATTCTATTTTGAGCAAAGTCTTACTGTGCAGTCCAAACAGTACTGGAACCTTCTACACAGTGTAGTTTGGAATGGAATGCATCTTTTATATATATATATATAGGCATTGCATATTTATTTTCATGCACACACCACACATACACAAAGATAGGGCCTCTTTTTGTAGTCCTGGAACTTGCTATGTAGACCAGGCTGGCCTCGAACTCACAGAGCTCCACCTGCCTCTGCCTCATTAGTGTAGGGATTAATGATGTGCACTAATATATCTAGCCCTTGATTTATATATTTTGTTACATATGAGTGTTTTGTCTACATGTATGGATGTGCACCATGTGAGTGCTTTGTGTATGTAGAAACCAGGAGGGGGCACTGCATCTCCTGGAACTGAATTTATGAATGTTTGTGAACCATCATGTAGGTTCTGGGAACTCTGTTCCTCTGTAAGAGCAACAAATAACTCTTAACCACTGAGATCCACTTTTGATCTTCTTGACTCAACTTCCTGAGTGCTGGAATTATAGGCAATTAAAATGAAGCCGAGCAAAAGATTTTGAATATAACAAACGAACAGGTGTTTTGAATGTTTGTTTTTGAAAAATTTCCAAGGTGGTGGGCAAGATGGCTAAGTGGGATAAAGGTCCTTGCTGTATACGCTTGCTGATCCAAGTCTGACTGCAAAGACAGAAGATGGAAAGAATCCACTCCACAGAGTTCCCATCAAATGACCCCTACAAGTGCTCTGAGGCAAACATGCCCACACTTATATACATTATACACAACAATAACAATTTCTAACTCTGGAAGGAATGGGTCTCACAAGCTAGCACAGGCTAGCTGGAGAATCACACTGTGTGGTCCAGTCCTCATGTCTGTTGGAATTCTAGACATGCATCACCACACCTTTAAACATTTCTGAATCTTTTTTTTTTTTTTTAAAGATTGTGTGTATGAAGCCCAGCAGAGGTGGTGCATGCCTTTAATCGCAGCACTTGGGAGGCAGAGGGAGGCTGATCTCTCTGAGATAGAGGCCAGCCTTGTCTACAAAGTGAGTTCCAGGGCAGCCAGTACTGTTACAGAGAGAAACCCTGTCCTGCTCTCCTACCAAATATTTACACAATTTTAAATAATTTGAAAATATAAGACAAAGGGGGGAGTGGGAGGGTGTTGGGAGGAGGGACGGAAATGGAAACTTTTATAAATTAATAAACTTAAAAAAAAAGAAAATATAAGACAAAGACACATGTCAGATAGCTTCATTTAGTGAAGAATTTATCATGGGTTAATTGAAAAACCTAAATAGGTATCTATTCAATAATACCTTTGATTTTTCTTACATACTAATGCATTTATCACCTTCATCTTGTTATCTGTCAAACTTAATTCTCTGTAGTGAACAGCTTCCACGACATTCATTTGATAACGTTTTTTTCTTAGGGTTATTTTCTAGTCGTGGTTTAAGTGAGAAGTTTGTTAGGACTGAATATAGGCCAGCATTATGTCGTAAAAAAAAAAATACCTATGCCAACAAAAATGATATAAAACAATCAATGTATTTAATATGGCAAATGTTCAAATGTCAGTTTTGTGGTTACATTTTAAAGCAAGTTGGTCCTATCTTATTGTTCTGGTGTTGCTAGGACAGCTCAGGATCTTGCCAGTGAGGCTCACTCCTGGCTTAGCGCCTTCTTTTTTATGTCCTTAGGAGTAAGAAAACTGCAAAAAGCCAACAAAATAGTAGACAAAAACAAATTAAACCAATGAAATTCTCAAAATTTAGAAACAGGAAGTAAAATAAATAAACCAAAACTGATTATAAGAAGCAACAATTGCCGGGCGGTGGTGGCGCACGCCTTTAATCAGGAGGTAGAGGTAGGCGGATCTCTGTGAGTTCGAGACCAGCCTGGTCTACAAGAGTTAGTTTCAGGACAGGCTCTAAAGCTACAGAGAAACCCTATCTCAACCCCTTTCCCCACAAAAACAAAACAAAACAAAAACAAACAAACCAAAAAAAAAAAACAAAAAAACAAGAAGCAACAATTATGAGGCTAGAAAGATGGCTCAGAGTTATGAGCACTGGTTGCTCTTGCAGAAAACCTGACTTCTAGTTCCAGGGTATTACACATCCTCTTCTGGCCTACAGGAGTATCAGGCATGTATTTGGTGTGCATACATACATACACACATGCAGATAAAACACCCACATACTTAATTTAAATAATATAAAACAGCCACAATAATATCAAAATATTTCACATTGTTTTAAAATTTGCCTCCACAACTCCACTTAAGGATAGGGTTTCTCCACCTGGGTTATAGTTGTCTTGAAAAGACAGGGTTTCTCTGTGTAGGTTTCTCTGTGTAGCCCTGACTGTCCTGGAATTCACTCTGTAGACCAGGTTGCCCTTGACCTGAAAATCCATTTGCCTCTTCATCCTGAGTGGTGGGATTAAATGCACGTACCACCATCTCCTTCAAAAACATACTTACTTTTAAAATTCAATATGCATCCTTAGCTGGTCTGTTAACTTGCTATATGTAGACAATGTTATAGCCCTATATAGACCAATAGTCTCTGCCTATGCCTCACAAGTGCAAGGGTTACTTACAGGTGTTCAGCACCATGCCCAGTTAATTCGTGACATTAAAAAAAATTATATGAGAATGTGAGCAACCAGGTTGGGTGGGGGGACTCCAGCTTAGATTCCTAGTAATAGTGGGTAAGTAACCTCAACTGGTCATCTTCCTATGATCAAATTGGTGCCTGGACCAATTGTTATCAGAGAGGTGTTATCCATCAACTGATGGAGGCAGATGCAGAGACCCATAGTCAATCATTAGGTAAGCTCAGGAATCCTGCAGAGGAGAAAGGAGCGTAGGAGCCAGAGGGTCAATCAGCTAACCTGGGCTCATAGGGGAATCACAGAGGCTCACAGAGATTGAACTGACAACCAGGGGGCCTGCTGCATGAGGACCACCTAGGCCATCTGCATGCATGATACTGTTGTACAGCTGTCTCTGACTCTTTTACTGGCTTTTGGGACCTTACTTCTCATACATTGAGTCACCTTGCCCAGCCTTAATACATAGGAAGGTGCTTAGTCTAACTGCAACTTGATATGCCATGTTTTATTGATACTCATAGGAGACCTGCCCTGTCCTGGATGGAGACAGAAGAGGAGATTGGGGATTAGGAGAGATAGGATGGAGCAGAAGGACTGGGAGAAAACAATTGAGGAAAGGCTGTGGCCGGGATGTAAAATAAGTAGTTTTTAAAAAATTTGCATTTTAATAATTTTAAAAGATTTTTTTCTTTTTCTATATGTTGTTTCTATATGTTGTCTTGAAAAGACAGGGTTTCTCTGTGTAGGTTTCTCTGTGTAGCCCTGACTGTCCTGGAATTCACTCATATGAAACAATGTGAACAACGTGCATGTCTGGTGCCCAAGGAAGTCAGAAGAGGGCATCAGAAACCACTGCAACTGGTTCCTTAACCACTGAGCCATCTCTATAGCCCTGTTAGTAACTTTTTGCTTTGTTTTATTCTGTTGTTTTGAGATAGAATTTCTGTATGTAGGCCTAGCTGTGCTAGATTCACTTTGTAGACCAGGCATGCTTCTGCCTCCCGAGTGCAGGAATTAAAAGTGTACACCACAACCAACTGTCTTTACACTGGGCTGGTGAGATAGATGGTTTATCTGTTCTGTGTGGTTCCTGCAATCTCAGCCTCCACAGGGCTGAAATCAACAGGTGAGTACTACCATATTTAGAACATTAGTTCTTTATTTTCTGTGAATTTATCTGCATTAATAAAACCAACAATTCCATCTACACTCCTTCTCCTGTACCAGGCATTTCCATCTGACACCTAGTAGAGGCTGGTGGTGCATGCTCATCAGCTCAGCACTTGGAAGCGAGGCAGGGGAAGCAGAGCTCTGCCACAACTGAAAACAAATAGTTCCCACTAAAAATAAGACTCTCCAAATGAGGTAACGCCACACTTTTTACCTCTGATGACACTTTTACCATCTCATTAGCATTAGAGGTCACTGACTGTGCATATGCTTATACATGCAAACAGTTTATTAGCACAGTTTTCTGTGGAAGTTATACACTTCATTTGGATGGTTCCTCATTATGGCCTACCATATGCTGAAAGCTAAGAAGGCACTTAAGACTTTGGTTACTAATAGATTACAACATCATCTGATATTATCTTGAGAGCTACCCCCAGAGCAGGTGACATTTCGGCACACAAGACTCTCTGATACTCTATGCAGCCCATGAGCATCAGCGTCCAATGTCAGACTCCGTTCCAGAGAAGCGGTCACAGTACCTATTGAGGCAGTCATCCCCACAGCCCTTCCTGGCGGCATCATCCGGCTTCTTACAGTTACAGGTGGTAGCCTCATAACCAGAAAGAGGTTTGACATCAACGTAGACATCTTGAGAAGACAGCAAATAAAAGTTTTTGAATATACAGAACTATAAAAATAAGTGTCAAGACAGGAGGAATATTGATGTTTTGAAGGCAGAAAAAATAACTTCTAAGTTACTCACTTGAACGAATTTTTTTATACAGGGGGACATCTGGTTTTTTGTATAGCTAGAAGAAAAAAAAATCTTGATATAGCATTTTGCTTCAACTGACAGCGTGGCATCAAACTCTAAAGATAAAGGTAGGTATCCATGCATTCTGTTCATAGGGAAATATCTGTGGGAATTGGGCATGATGGGACACCTCTATACTCGTAACACATGGGAAGGTGAGGCAGGAGAATCACTGTGAGTACAAGCTACATGGCAAATGTTTTTCAGTCTTTCTGAATCAGGTATGATCAAAGGAATCTCACAGTGATTTATTTTTAATTTTCTCCACAATAAAAAAGTGTGACAGAGAATTAGATAGTTTATAAAAAGTAACCATGTATTTGTTTTGTTTTATTTTGTTTTTTAAAAGGCAGCATCTATGGAGCCAGGGATGGATGACCTAAAATTTTTTAGGTAAATTTTTTGGTTCTTCTCCTATATTCCTTCCTGAGTGCTAGGAATATGGGATTGTGTAAATAACATCTGAGTTACAACAATGTATTTTGAATTTGCTTTTTTTAAAAAAATTTTTAACATGCTGTTGGACAACTATTGAAAATAATCAATCTGAAGACCAAACTTATTCATTTGGATAACTTAAGATTCTATTTGTTGCTATCAAAAGAAAGGAAAGGGGATGGGGGTAAAGGCCAGTGGTACACTTTGTGTTCAAGTCTCACCATCAACCCTGCCATAAAATCACAAAATCCTATAAACCCTAAAACCCTCAACACATATAAGGTTTGTTTTTAGTGTAGTAGTATGACAATAGAAAGATTAGCTGTCCTCTCAGCCGTGACTGATAGGAAATCTCAGGAAATCAGCAATACGGTGGTTCATCACAAGCAGAGTGTGCTACTGGTGTGCACGTATCTCAATTCAGCAGTATGGAGATGAAAGCAGGAGGATCAGAGGTGGTAGGCCAGCTTTAGCTACATAGCAAGTTCAAGGTCAGCCTGGGTAATATGAAACATTGAGGAAAGTTCTCTCAGGTTTGAACTAAAGTGTGCTGCAAAAGAAACAGCAATTGAACTAAACTCCATCACTTAATGATTTATCAGGATTTATTTTATCATATTTTTTCATTTCATGTTCAAAGCCTCATTCCCCAAAATTAAAAGGGAGGAAAAAAAAATCATTGTCTAAAACCAAAATAAAACAAAAGCAACTCCTTCAACCAAACCCAACAAAAAGACACAATATATAAGATATTCATAAGAATTTAACAGAGGCCAGGCAGTGGTGATGTACATCTTTAATGCCAGCAGTCTGGAGGCAGAGGCAGGCAGATCTCTGAGTTCAAGGCCAGCCAGGTCCACAGAGCGAGTTCTAAGACAGCCATGGCTATTTAGAAAGCCTGTCTTGAAACAATTCACCAGAGAAAAGGAGGCAGAGGAGATTGAAGTGCATTTGATTTTCCAATGTTAACTTTTGTTTAGAGACAGTGTCTTAGTACGTGGCTCTACTGGTCTGGAACTCACAGAAATCCACCTGCTTCTGCCTCCTGACTATTAAAGATGCGTGTCACCCCACCTGCCAGTTTCCCAGTGGTTGTTCTCTGAAACCTTTAACTTAATTAAGGTCTGAGGGTTTTGTTTGTTTTTTTTTTTTTTTTGGCAGTACATCTTCATTTTCTTGAGCCCTGCATAAAATAGAATTGTTATAACAGCACAAAAATCATTGCCACCAAAACAAATGCTCAGAATAAGAACAGAAGTTTGCCCATTGAAGCAGAAACTTACTGTAATTACGAAGTATGATTAAAGGTAAGTAAGGTACATTGAAATGTACGCAAATTAATTTTTCTTAGTCTCTAACCTTTATAAGGGCAGGTCTCAGTATATCCTAAGATATGATAAGGAGCCAGAGGAAAACAAACTTGCATTCCTTATTGCCCAACTGTTATGAGTTAAAAAAAAAAAAACAAAACCCTGAACAAAGAGGCCTTTGTACCTGATTGTGTTTCCACTGCCAGAGGATATCATAGGGAAGCTGGAAGTCAATTCTCTTCTGTCTCAGGTACTTTCCTGAAATAAAAAAGTCAGTTTCAACAACTATCCTGATATGCAGGCGATACAAAGTCAGCAAAAAGTCACATGCAATATACATCTGAATAAACACACACATGCACACATGTATGTACACACAAACAATTTTTCTTTGGGGGAGCATCTTTACATGATAGGGGTTCTCTGTGAAGTTCTGGCTATCCAGGAACTCACTCTATAAACCAGGCTGGTCTCAAACTCAGACATTCACCTGCCTCTGCCTCCCAAATACTGGAATTAAATGCGTGTGCCACCATTGCCTGGCTGTGCAAAATGTATTTTATAAATTTATAATCATGTCTAGAAAACAAAGCAAAATTACAACTGAAATCAGTAAGTCACTATGAAATTAAATAAACACTAAGAAGTTTTTAATTATTAAAGTTATAATCATAAAGTACCTGCACTTGCTCTTACTACATAGAGCTTAATGGTAACAAAAAAGGGCAAACTGGGCTGGAAACAAGGTTCGGTGGTTAAGAGTTCTTGCTGCTCTTGCAGAGGACAGGGTTTACAACCAAGTTTCAGGGAGCTGATGCCCTCTTCTGACTTCTGCAAGCACCAGGTACACACGTGATACATATATATCCATGCAGGAAAAACAGTTATACACAAAACTACAACAACAACAAAATCTAAAACAACTAAAGGGTGAGGGGCAGAAATCCAGACTGGCTAATGGATAAAAGTACCTGCCTACAAGCCTGACTACCTGAATTCGATCCCTCGAACTCATCTAGGAAGAGAGAAAATGCACTCCTACAAATTGCTCTTTGGTTTCTATGCAGCACTGCGGAAAATATTCCCACACAAAATTAAACAACCTAATAAAAAGAGAAATGAAAAAGGACATTCTTGAATTTACATAACTGAGGAATACATGTCAACCAGCATGATGGTTCCAGAATCCATGGTGGAAGGAGAACCTCTCTGATTTACTTATCCATCTATTTATTTATTTGTTTGTGTTTTCTTAGACAGGGTTTCTCTGTAGCTTTGGAATCTGTCCTGTAACTTGCTCTTGTAGACTAGGTTGGCCTCAAACTCACAGAGATCCGACTGCCTCTGCCTCCAGAGTGCTGGGACTAAAGGTGTGTGTCACCACCACCCAGGTGCCTCTGGCTTTCACATACTCACACACACACACACACACACACACACCCCTCTGAATTCTAGACACACACGTACACACACACCACAGAGATTCACCTGCCTCTGCCTCCTTAGGATTAAAGGTGTGGGCCACATGTCTGGCTTCCCTGTCTTTTAGATGAATACTGGGTAACGTGCATGCCAGAATTCAGGAACATACTTTACATATATAGACACAAGCACAGACAGGCTGGGGAGATGGCTCACTGGTTAGGATGGCCCTCCATAGAGAACCGAAGTTTGGTTCTGAGCACCCACATTGGGTGGTCAATTGCCTGTAACTCCAGCTTCACAAGATCTGACATCTTCATCTGGCTGCTGAACATGCAACATACACACACACAGATATAAACACATACATTATTAAAATAAAAAGTCTAGCTGGGCGGAGGTGGCACATGCTTTTAATCCCAACACTCAGGAGGCAGAGGTAGGCAAATCTCTGTGAATTTGTGTCCGGCCTGGTCTATAGAATGAGTTTCAGGACAGCCAGGATTGTTATACAGAGAAACCCTGTCTCGAAATATCAAAAATAAATAAATAAATAAATAAAAACAAAAAACTACGCCCATTTTAACCCCAGCACTTAAAAGGCAGCAGAGGCAGGCAGATCTCTTTGAGGCCAGTCTGGTCTATACAATGAGTTCCTGGACAGCCAGGGCTACACGTGAACTTAAGATCCTATTAGCTTTTTTCCCCCTACAAATTAAACTGCTTTCTTTTTTAATATATTAACATAGTTTCTTAATTGATTCTTTGGGAATTTCGCATCCTGCGCTCTAACACACTCATCTCCCAGTCCTTCCATGTTCACCCTCCATCCTTTTAGCCCTCCCAAACAAACAAACAAACAAAAAAACAAAACTAACAAACAAATCAAAAACCCAAACAAAAACCAAACCAGTATCACTTCAGTCCTCCACCTTGAGAGCAGTGTGTCATGAAGCACACCTTTCCACAAACAGCACAACTTGTGACTGTCCACTGCCATGAGTCTGGTTTAGTTCAAGGCCTCTGGCTTCTGGTACACCATCAACACAGGATCCTCACTGAAACTTCTCTAGTCTAGACGGCTTTTGCCTGGAGTTATGGAGATCCTGTGGCTGAGGCTTTACAGCACTGGTCACTTCACATGCTCCTACAGGTCACATGTGGGATAGATGCTGGGTGGACCAGGTCAAAGACCTCAATATGAGCCTGTCCGGGACTCCACTGGTCAGGCCTCTCTCTGGAGGGGGTCAAGGGCAGCTCTTCAGTGCTCAGGCCATGGGGGCCAGCTCTCCTCTGTACTCTGGTGAGAACATGGGTCACTGACTTCAGCACAGAACCGGGGTGGTGATAGGGCCATGGACGCAGACATGGTCCTCAGATGCAGTTCAGGCTAGACATGATGTCACCATTGTTATGATTCTGGCCAACCAGCGGGGCTGGCACTTCCAGGTTCCATGTGTGGACAGGTAAAAATACCTAGCCGCCCTGGGGACCTTAGAAGGTCTTGCATGACCCATATGCAGCATGGTTGCATCACCACATATGATGGCAGCTACGTAAGCCCTTGTGTGCATGTGTGAGCTCTGTCACCTGTGTATGACGTGGCTTTGTCATCCCCCCGGGCGCATACACTAGGAAGCCTTTAAAAGCTGGATGCGCTTTAAAGCCCCCCCTTTAAAGTGGATCTTCAGCCCCCCCCCCCGGCCACTGACCTCACCAGGCCTGTACACTTCTCCTCTAATAACCTCCTAAGCGGGTTTGTTATGTGTTTCATGCTTCCTTCTCATTTGTGCCAGGTAATTTCAACCATGACCTCAGATGGCAGTAGAGGCCACTCAGATTAGTATAGACCCAGCAGCAGCATGACCCAGAAACCCCTATTAGTCTGTTCGTCAAAACCACTACACCTTCAGATCGGCTTCTCTCCACAGCATATGAACCACACTGCTTCTCATTCTCTCCTATTGCTCTACCCAAGACCTTTCATTGGAATGGTGCCCGCCAGCTTTTTTTTTTTTCCTTTGGTGGCTGTCATGCAGCTTTGTGGTGATATTCTGTTTGTGTTCAAACAAATAAAAATTGCCTGAAGATCAGAGGGTAGAGCCAGCCACTAGTTAAACATAGAGGCCTACAGGTCTGTACAGACAGACATGAAGTTATAAGGCGGAGCAAATAGAGGAGCAAAAGGCGGGAAGAGGCAGAAGCTTGGCCCTTTTTTGGTTGAGAAATTACTAAGGTAAGAGTTGGCTGTGGCTTGTCCTTTCGGTTCTGATCCTTCAGCATTTACCAATATCTGACTTTGGGTTTTTATTATTAAGACTAATTAGAATTCATGCAACAACTGATACCCAACTTTAGGGCCACTTACCTCTGGCTTTGCAGCCCTTGGCACACACTGGAGATGTTTGGGGAGTGGGGGTACTCCTGCTGGAGGCACTGTTACAGTGGTTAGGTTTTATTTTGCTTTTCCTCTCAAGCCTCTGAGTGATTTTGGGAATTTCCTGTTGTATTTCTCTACAACAGCCTCCAGCTGCCACCTGAACTCCAGAAACACCTGGCCTCCAAACGCCATGGGATTTACCAGCCTTAGACGGGCTGGTTCTGCTATAGAGCAGCTGCCACACACGTACTTCTTCCACACAATCCCATGTAGTTTTTAGACAGCTGGCTCCCCTCCCCAATTGGCTGTGGGTTTCCCCTAAACCTCTCTCCTCACTCAGGCTGTGCACTGCTGGTAGTCTCCTCCCAGACAGGCTTTCCTCACATCCCACCATCACTGTCAACAAATTTAGTGAAACAATTGAGAATTCTTAAAGGAAGGTATTAGTTAAAAGAAATTTTCCTACATTAAAAAATTGGGAAACACTATTATGATGGACAGAGTTAGATCTCTGTATGAATGAACAGTTGATATTTTAAAATTGAAACAATTAAGTGAAGGGATAATCAACTGAATCGAGAATGGCATAATGTTAATAATCATTTTGATACTTTTTATTGCTGGTTTAATAAATCTTGGTTTATCCTTTTATAACTTTTTAAAATAGGTTGATATGAGTGTCATGATACAGGACTTAGAAAACTCATTAAAACAGATCATAGAGATATTTAGATCCAGACAGAGGAATTTAAAATGAACCAATCTCAGCACTGCACTTTAAGGTTAGAGAGGAACAGCCTAAGGTTTCAAATAGCCAGCTTTAAATTATCCAGTAACCTTACAAGAACAACTGCCAAATGATAGATATCCCCAAGGCTGTGCAAGAGCTGAATGATCTTCTGTGGAAATGTTAGATTTAAGGAAATTCAAGGAAGCAATAGTCTCATATGGCATGCATTCACCTTTTGTGAATCAGATCTTAAACTAATGGTCAATTTGTAATAGAATTATTCCTCAAGACTGGAGAGACTTGGTTACAGCAGTCTTGGAGCCTGGTCCTCAATTACAATGAAGGACCTGATGGAAAGATGAGACAACAAAGTAGGGCTAGAGGAATGGAAATCTCCCAAGACCAACTTCTTGGACAGGGAGATTATGCTAATGTACAAAAGCAATCTCTATGTGATGACCACACCTTGGCTGTATGCCATACAGCAGCTTTTCATGCTTGGGACAGAACTGGAGAAATAGGAAAGAAAATTGAGTCACATTTACTAAAGTTATATAGGATCCAAAGGAAACCTTCAGAGATTTCTTACAAAGAATGACTTCAGCAATAAATAATACCAAATTCAGAAGCTAGATAAACGATAATTGAATCTCTGGCTTTTGAAAATGCTGATATACAATGCAAACGAGGTAATTAGGCCAATAAAGGCAAGATCAGTACTGTCGG